TATAAACACAACACAGAAATAACAGCCCAACCTGTCAGTGGCCCTATAAACCCAAACAACAACAACAAAAAGAACAGCCCAGTACTGGTGTTGTTTCTACTCTTTTACACTAGTGAGTTACAATTACCTTTATTACAATACAACAATCATGTGATACATGATATGTACAGAGAGTTTGAGCCATGAAATATTGTGTATTAATGAAATATAGTATTTCATAACAGTGTAACTTATGACCCTATCAATCTGTTTTTTTAATTACATTACCTAATAGAATAATCCATTCTCTTGAATGTACAGTAACTCATCTAATGACCATATGACCTGTTTCCGCACTACAAATAGTATATTGATATAGTATATTATCATTTTGTTATACATTGTCATGCTACAAATTTGTACAGTTATAATGTCTCGTAATTGAAATGTTCAAATTTCATTGTTTAAAATACTCAGTTGTACTTCATGTTGTATTTTGTTTACTGTAATTTTTACCACTGAATATATCATTGCTTAGTTAATTTTAAGTTAATTTTAAGCTGCCCGTAATGCTCTGCATACAAGGGCTTTTGGCCATGTATTATGTCCAAATAAAGTATTATATTGTATTGTATTGTATTAAGGCAGTGAAGAGCAAAACATGGTCATGCCTCCGTATCTATGTGTCAGGTGTTAGGTACTCAGGTGTTGAGTGTGTGAGATGTTAGGTACTCAGGTGTTGAGTGTGTGAGATGTTAGGTACTCAGGTGTTGAGTGTGTGAGATGTTAGGTACTCAGGTGTTGAGTGTGTGAGATGTTAGGTACTCAGGTGTTGAGTGTGTGAGATGTTAGGTGCTCAGGTATTGAGTGTGTGATGTGCTAGGTGCTCAGGTGTTGAGTGTGTTAGGTGCTCAGGTGTTGAGTGTGTGAGATGTTAGGTGCTCAGGTATTGAGTGTGTGATGTGCTAGGTGCTCAGGTGTTGAGTGTGTTAGGTGCTCAGGTGTTGAGTGTGTGAGATGTTAGGTGCTCAGGTATTGAGTGTGTGAGGTGTTGAGTGTGTGAGGTCTTGAGTGTGTAGGTGTTAGGTGCTCAGTATGCCAGGTGTTAGGTGCTTAGGTGTTGAGTGTGTGAGGTGTTAGGTTCTGAGGCAGCAGCAGTTAGTTTTCATATTCTTGGTACATAATAAACAAGACTGGTGTTGGCAGCACTTTTCTGGTCATATACAAGGTTCATTATATAGACTTAACTAAGGAGAACCCAATAAGTTAGTAAGTTGATTTACCAATAGCTACATATAAATACACTTAAACAAATTATCACATATAGTAACATATGAACATTACTTAGATAACAAAAGAGTCAGTGACTTACAGTGGCCCGTGGCCGAGTGGCTAAAGCCCTCACTTCACACGGTGAGGGTAGAAACATTGGACGTGTTTCCTTACACTAGTTGTCTGTGTTCATCCTTCAGTAAAATGGGTACCTGGGTGTTAGTGGACTGGTGTGGGTCGCATCCTGGGACAAAACTCCCCTTATTTGGCCAAAATGCTCTGCATAACAAACAGCTTTCTGTATAGTAGTATGTCATTGATGTCAGCTAGACCTGTATACCTTGTACATGTACTGTAGAAATAAAAATATTATATTATAATTATTATCATTATTGTTCTTGAGGACCTTGTAAAATCTTATTACAGTGGAACCTCAGCTCACGAGTTTAATCCGTTCTGTGACTAGCTCGTAACTCAATTTGATTGTATTTCAAATCAGTTTTTCCTCATTTAAATTAACCCTTTGAGGGACGTTGCCATAGATCTACGGCTTTATGTTGAGGGTCCAAACCGTAGATCTACGTCATGAGCTCAGCTCACTCTGATAAGCTGTGAACGGTAAATTTTGGCCTACATATGAGAGAATACATCTATGTGGTATGTGTGCACCACATAAAACAAATCCTGCAGCACATAGTGCATAATGAGAGAAAAATAACTGAGACTGTAATTTTCGATTAAAACAGCAACTTTGCATTGTTTTTTTATATGTTTTTTATAGTTGTATTTGCAATTTCTTGGTCTCATTTGATAGACTGGAAATGGCTTGAAACTGACCTCAAAGTAGCGGAAATGTTAAATTTTTGCTGATGTTCGAGAGTAAACAAACGACCTCACACGTCTAATACACACCAGCTGGTGGGTCTGATATACGTTCACAAATGTGGTGATATTATATATACAATTATTACAATATTGCATAACAGTAAATCTTCTATTTTTTGGTTTGAATAAAAATTCATTATGTGAATAAAAAATCAAAATGAAATTCATTAGTAAAGCCTGAAAACGTAACTAATGAACAGAGGAAATGTTAGTTTAGTGCCAGGAATGTCTGCATTGTTTATTCTGGACCCTATTTTGAAATTGGAGCATTTTGAACTTTGCATTAAATTGGCCAAATTACCAATTTCCGATCACTTTATTGTGTAGTTGAAATAGTTGACTTGGTGAATTCTTGTGCTCAATCAATAGAATAGAAGTAATACTAGTGAAATAGCTAAGAATTTGGTCGACTGGAATAATGTAATTGGCCTAAAATGGGAGTCAAAGTCAGCGAAATCGCCGATGCGTAAATATCGCTGACACATCAAAATTCGCGAGAACATAATTTCGTCAATTTTCCATCAAATTTCGTACTTTTTGTTTTATTACCTTCAGAAAAAGATTCTCTACCATTTCATAAAAAAAAATAACAAAATTATTTTTTTTAAATTTTTGGACACTGATGCACACTTTGAAATTTGGCCTTGGACCCTGAAAAGGTTAACTGAAATACCATTAATCCGTTCCAATGGAATTCCTGCTCTCAGAAGGCAGGACAAAATACTTCAATATAACAATAATATCAACTCTACAGCTTATTTATCTATCACAATTGATCTTATATGACATAATAAACAATATAAATAATGTAAGAACTTGATATATACTCTAGAATGAATAAAATAGGCCATAATATGGCAAGTGGTGGCAGCCCACCACTCCCGCTCCCGCACTCGCACTGACCATATCTTCCCATTCTTCCCCTTCTGAAAATGGAGTGTTTGTGAGGCTCTCTCCACCACATCACTAGTTTCATAAGGAAAATGCTGAAACAGTGTATTTATAAATAAGAAATATTGTATAAAAACTTAACTGCTACAATTTGTTTTATTTTTTTTTTCACTTCACTCTTCACTGATTTACTTGTTATTCTCTTAAACCCTTCAGGGTCCAAGGCCAAAATCTGAAGTGGTGCTGCAGTGTCCAAGAAATTTTGAAAAAAAAAAAAAAATTATTTTTTCTTACAAAATTAAAGAGCATATTTTTGTGAAGGTAATAAGACAAAAAAAAAATTATGATCAGTACTTACTGAGATACAGTGACAAGAAGTTTGTCAAAAATGATGTGGTGGCGGCAACATCAACGAATTCCACATACCACATTACATTATTTAGCGGTTTTTAAAGTTTTTTCTTTTCTTTTCAAATTTTTTTCTATTCCTACTAACATTTGGGGCCTGAGAGACCAATACTGTATATAATGTATATATATAAACTCACTCTATTGAACACAATAACCGCACTAAAGTTATCATAATATTATTGTTTACCACTGTTGGTTATTACAATAAACATGCACAAATCTTGTATAATACTAATGTTCTATCATATATTTACATATTTTACAATCACTGGACATGGTTTTAGAACTGCTGGAGCTTGTGGAACTCCTTGAAACAAGGCACCATGCACAGAGGCACCTTACATTCCTCACACATAAACCGAGTGTCTTTGCGTCTTTGTTGCCATCGTTTTGTTTGTGCGCAGACGATGCATCTCTTCTGAGCAAATTTCTTCTGAGTTGAAGGAAGCTGTATTATGAAATAATCACCTTCCCTCCTCAAACGCTTGGGTATATCCTGAGTAATTCGAGGACCTTGTTGTATAGCAGGTGTTCTTACCTGGTACTTTATTATGAGTTGTCTGACAACAGACAAACAAAATTCGCCATACAGTGGTCTGTTGCCAGTCTTTATTTGGTACATATTATATGCATTGAGCATAGAAATGTCCATGAGATGGAAGAAAAGTTTCATGTACCACTTGTAACTCTTACGAACACAGTCAACAAAACCAATCTGCATGTCACATTTGTCAACCAAGTGCATGTTTTGTGTATAATCAATCACTGTCACTGGTTTTCGAATACGTTCATTAGTCACTCGATCAACTTTGCCACTGTCTTGCATTTCATTACGGTGAATGGTTGTCAACTATGTGACATCTCGTTTGTCATGCCACCGTAATGCCACGATGTCATTGGCAGTAAACACCTGCACGTCATCACCACGAGCACCTGCGTTGAGCCTGGGCATATGTTTACGACTAGAACGCACTGTGCCACACACATCTGTCTTGTTCACTCGCATGAAATCACTGAGTAATGGGCTTGTGTACCAGTTATCGGTATATAATGTATGCCCCTTACCAAGATAAGGTGCCATCATTTTTTCTCACTACGTCACCTGAGATACCCAATAACATCTTGGTATCTTTCAATGTTTTACTTCCCGTGTATACAACAATATCCAACACCAGGCCACTGTCACAGTCACAGAGTACAAACAGTTTTATACCAAAGCGTTTCCTCTTGCTCGGTATATACTGCTTGAATGACAGTCTACCTTTGAACAAAATCGAAGACTCATCAATTACAAGATTCTTGAATGGATAAAAGTATATGCTGAACTTTTGTTTGAGATACATGAAAACATTTCTAATCTTGTATAACCTGTCACTTCTCTCAGGCCTGGTTTTGTCAGAGAAGTGCAACATACATAAGAGTAAGATAAACCTGTTCACTGGTATGATTTCACTGAAGACCGGGGTAGAAATTAGCCAATCTGTGGACCAGTATGCTTTTATATTATGCTTATAGACATGAGGCATAAGCATTATTGTTGCAAAAAGCAAATACATTTCTGCCCAAAAGTCGTCTCTTTCCACCTGTGTAGTCTTGACTGTGGTGATATGATCGTATTTGCCATGGTGTACTCAAAATACTTATTACTTCTTATTACTTTCCTTGACAATAGTT